TTTGTAGTATAAATATAGAACCAAATGTGATAAAAAAATAAAAAACTATGTTAATTCATATCAGTCCTCATAATACTTCAAATTAAATGAAGCCACATGTTTCTAATTGAGACTCATCTTATATCTATATTAGTTATATATTGAGATCATAACAATATCATAATAAAGGACATAAATCAAATACATGCTTGAAACAATTTATAGAGAAAGAAAAATTTGCCACCATTTGGCCACCTATTACATCTCATCAAATTAAATTAAAATTTTCTCCCTCACATTTTTAACTACGTAATCTTCAATAAAATAATATTAAACGTAAAGCGAAAATTTTTCATTCTTTTACGACCATCCATTTTTTTTAAAAAAAATCACTACTCCCCCATTAGTATTGGAAGGGGCTGTACCCGATAAACATATGGATTACTTACGTACCCCATGAAGGGATTAAGCCAAACACGTAGTTCTTTTACATAAGTAACTCTCACTAACTAAAATCATCAAAGGTTTCCACAATACCCATTTTAGAAACGTATACATTAAAAAGTTATGGAGCAAGTTCCTTTATCAAGGGATCTGCAATTATCGTCTCTGTAATGTTATACTCTATTTTCGCCTTCCCTTTCTTAAACCTGTCTCTAACAACCAAATACTTGATGTCAACGTACTTTAACCCACCAGAACTTTTCTTGTTCCTTGAAAAGAACACCACCGCGCTATTATTGAAATAAATAGTAATTGGTTTCGAGATGGAATTAACAACTTTCAACCCAAAAATAAAATTCCTTAACCAAACTACTTGGATCGTAGCTCCATAACATGCCACAAATTCAGTCTACATAGTAAGATGCTACTAGAATCCGCTTAACACTTTTTCAAGAGAAAAGAATCACAATTTTAATTTAATAGTTTAAAAGATATACATGCTGAAGTCATCTTGAAAGCAAATATTGGTACTAGATCTTCCTTTCCTTGCTTCTCACAAAATTATTAGCCGTCAACGGAACAAACCAATAAAAACATATGGAGAGGAGAGAGACCTAGCTTCTTATATAGAAACTTAGCCGCCCCATTAATGACTAATTAGGGTTTAAATATTTCTGGCCCACATACTTGAACTAACACATTTTGCCCCCATTTGGTAGTGCTTTTTCATCTAAAAAAATTGATTTTTTGACTATTATTTCACTATTTCAGCTGTCATATTTGATTTCTTTACTCATAGGTAGCCTCCACTTTTCTTCCTAACGGTCAAAAAATCAATTCTCATAATCATAATCGAATAGGTCTTATATAGGATATAACCCTATATAACTAAGGTGTAAAATGGCACAAGTGATCACTCGACATATTGGACTTAATCTTAGTATTATTATGAGCTATACATTTAACCCGTTTAATAAAACATGAAACTTGCAATCAAATGGAAAACCCATACTTTGAAATTATTCTAACATAGTCTACATTGAAACTTTTATTTATTAGGTAGTCATACTATCGGAATTTCCCATTGTTTGTCCTTCAGCAATCGCCTCTACAACTTCACCGGACAAAATGATACCGATCCCACATTGGATCCCAACTACATCGTCAAACTAAAAATTAAATGCAACCCAGGAGACCAGAATTCCATTGTCGAAATGGATCCAGGAAGTGTCAAGACATTTGATGAATCTTATTATACACTTGTGGCCAAAAGAAGAGGACTCCTCCAATCAGATGCAGCTCTTTTAGATGACAATGAAACAAAATCCTATCTCAAATTTCAAGCTCTTAACCATGGACCTACTTTCTTCAAGGATTTTGGTGAATCAATGGTGAAAATGGGTCGGATCGGGGTCCTTACGGGTACAACAGGTGAAATCAGAAAAGTTTGCACTAAGGTTAACTGATTTAAGAATAAATGTTTCATCTCTTCAATGTCACATAAATGTGTGGTTTTAAGGTTTACAATTTTCACAGATTTTCTGAAATGTAAAATATGTTATTTGAGGGAATATGTAGTATGTCATTACAAGACCAAAAAGTGTATGGTATTGTGTGAAATTCAAGTATCAAATTTCGCTGCAAAATAATGTAACTGTCGTGATATGTGCCTAATAATGTTAAGACACTGTTGTAATGTTTGATATTTTGACTTGTTAATTAATAAATATTGCTAATTTATTTATTTATGCCTATAAACTTTTGTTGCATTTTTTGTATTTGAATGTGTGATTATGAGTATTTAATTACTGAGCAATAATCTGAGTTGACCGCTTGCATAGAGAAATACAAAAAGCTCATATTCCGATTGAGAATTAATTTATACTAGACTCGAGAATAAAATTTAGGATAAATCTATTGGTATAATTTTATATACACATAAGGGTGTATGGACACCCTATGTACATAAAATTATATACCCTAAGTACAACCCTAAAATTAACACTTTGTTCTAATAACATTTTAAAATGAGTTACTCTATAAATTGGAGTATATTAGCCAAGGTGAAAGTACTTTGGTAGTAATGACAATAGTACACTAGAAAGTGTATTGGACATGATCATTGTATATTTTAATTTCTATAACTTGTTCCTACGAAGAAATTAAACTTCACTAGATAGCAATGTGGATAACTTAGATTCGTAAGTGGATAGTGGTTGCTATTCTTAAGCTGGAGAGTCATGTGACAATAGATATCATAGATATGGTTAAATATGCTGGTGTGTTGGGAATTTAGAGAAATTAAAATAGTAAGCACGTATTCTTGTTTGGAAACAGTCACCGTATTGGATGACCAAATGAGTCCATTTAAGTTTTATTTTTTTTTATTTTTTTTATTTTTTTTATTTTTTTTATTTTTTTATTTTTTTATTTTTTGAGTTGTTGAAATATAATTAAGCTCGCTATCTTTCAATAGATAAATCATTTCATGACCAAAAAGAAACTATTAAAGGAAATATGAGTTTAGCTGAGAAAATATTTCAAATGGTGAAATAGTCATTTTAGTATCGATACAGTTATTCAACATTTGACAAGGGGCAAGAGTAGGGGTTTCAAGGAGCTGAGCCGAGCCGGCTCGGGCTTTTTTAATGCGAGTTTTTTTCTTGCCCGAGCTGAGCCGAGTAAAAGTTCGGACAAAAAATTAAGGCTTGACCCGAGCTTTCGGCTCGGACCTTACCGAGCCGACACGCTCAATTTTATGGATTTTTTTTTGCTTTTTAATATTTTCTCTCCTCTTAGCTGCCTCTGCTGGTTGGCAAGCTGCCAACCGATAGCAAATTAGCTACTTGAAGCTGCCGATAAAGGCAGTTTAGCTGCCAAACAAATAGCAAATTTTTCTTTTTGCTTTTTTTAATAGGCCGGCCTAGCTCGAGCCGACTCCCTCAAAATGGGGTTCGGCCCGAGCCTTGGCTCGGTGCCTTCGAGCCTCAAGCTAGGTCGGCTCGATCTCTTTCGGTCTGTGCCACGGATGACCTGAGTCAGCGAACCCAATTGCCATCCCTAGGTAAGACATAAAATTAGCAAGTCAAGAAAATGGTGTTAAGGAAAATAAGATATGTTACTTCTATAACATCAAATATTTTGAGAGTACAATTTTCTGCATTCAATGGATTGGAGTAAGTAGAAACTAATAATTATAATGGGCAAATAGGCAAAAGAAATCCTTGGTTTGTCGATGCCTATATAGTGCAAGAGAGTAAAAATTTGTTTTCAACTTGTAGGTTTGAAAAAAGAATATTCAAGAACATAGATTGGAAGATGAAGTAACTCGGTCCAAAATCAGATTAAAGGATATACATTTACACACACACACACACACACACACATATATGATCATGGGTGTCTGGACTAACTCACAAGCACTTCGACTAATCTCACGAGCCTCTGAAGTTTACAGTCAAATACTTATCTTAGTGGTCCTGAGAAGATTCGAACTGGTGATCATTGGAGAGCAAACTCAAGACCTGATCATTGAGCTACCCTCCAGGATTGATTAATTAGAATATTTTTACAAAACGAATATAATTATCTTGCCGCATTGTAGTCTTGAACATAAATTTTGTATTTTCATTTTCTACAATCCTATTTCCAACACTATTTACTACCATTATCCAACACTATTTACTACCATTAACGTTGTCTTGGTTGGGCAATTGACTCAGTTCATACAAGGTCTACATCTAAGAGGAATTTAATAAAGTGTTTATGCATGTTTGTAAAATTAGTATTGTAAAATTAGTACATCACGTGCTGAATCAATTGGTTTGTTAATGGGGATAGGGGTAAGATTTTTTTTATTGCCTTTAGAATCGATACGAAAAAAAAAGAAAAAGAAGCACCTATGGCTAATTGAAGAAACGCAATCAAATGCTTTATCATCTAATTTCATGTCCATGCACATGTGATAGTGATCTCGGAGTCCGTTTAAAACTTATTGCTTGTAATTAAATTCATGAAAATTTGTTATTGTACTTCCTTTGGTTGGGTATTTGGCGAGATATCTCCTTCTAAATATGCACTTACAATTTATTCGCAATATGTCTGATTGAAAAATGAAAAACATTTATAAAAAACGAGAGGACTCGCCAACTGATTGTCACTGCATGACATCTACCCTTCGATCCCCTAATTTTACATGTCTTCTCATTTAGTCCATTACTTTCTTTTATTTATTTATTTTTTTTGAAAAACAAGGTTCCATTCATTCATTTGCTTCGGCAAGTACAATCAAAAATAAAACTAGGAGGAGCTCCTATGCAAGTCTAAACATGAAAGTGAAGGAAAGCATTTGATGCAAGGGCATGGGCTACTCTATTGGTCTCATGTTGAACAAAATGAAAGTCTAAAGACTCGAAGAATGTAATCAGATTAGAGATACATTTGCAAAGCACCCTCCTGGGTATGAATAGGTGGTTCTTTTACTGCCATTTTTGTATTGAAACTATCTTATTCGAGAATGAAAACTGTAAGACTATTGAGTATTTGATATACTAATTCTATACGAGTGAAAGCAATAAAATTGGACAAAATAAAATAGACGTACAAGAACGTACAAAATTTACGGAAGTTCGCCTCAATGTGAAACTATATCATCATTTGCCTCCTCAGAAATTCACTATCATGAAAAAAAAAAAAAAAAAAAAAATTAAAAGAGAAAACTTGCAAGCCCTGTTTTCTTTGACCCCTCTCTCTTTTTAATGATAATATAAGATCAGTTCGCTTATGAATTCTGCACAATGACAATCACAACTTAATAAAGACTGTGTGACTTGATGAAATTGAGGCCTTCTCATATTACAATGCATTCTACTAGGTAGGGCGAGACTTGTCCAGGGATTGATATGTTCAGCCCCAATTCTAGCGGCAATTGGTTTTTCTTCCAGCCTCGATTTTTTACTTTCAGCCAGAGATGGATTTTTTTTGTGTGGGGGGGGGGGGGGGGGGGGCACTCAGGCCCAAGAGCTTTTTTTTAAGGTATTTTTTGGGGTAGAAAATCAGCTTTTTATGTGTAAAATTTTTTTTCCCGCGTAGTAGCCCGGTCTTGGATCCGTCCCTGCTTTCGGCCACAATTTTTGCTTAATGAAGAAGCCTTCCCCATGCAAGTGGCAAACTTGAATTAAAAACGCTCCTGTACCAGCTGTAATATACATGAGGCAGCTACAAATTTTAACGTTGGTTCGATTAAGCAAGCAACTTCTGTTGAAATTTTTATGCATCAGGCAACTAAAATTTCTATAAATAGGGTATATATTGCATAAGAAGATAGACATCTTAGAAGGAAGAAAAGAGAGATAATTGTGAAGTTTTGTGGAGAGTTTGTAAAATCTCTATAAATTCTATTCAAGTAAGAAATAGAATTGTTTTTTCCTTCTTACATCTCCTTTTCTGTGATCAGAGAATCACAACAAGTAATATTAGAGCAATGTTTATCAATCGACCTTTGTAGTTTTTGATACAGCTTTAATTTTGATCAAGCCATTATGATGTCAAGATGTCAGTGGATGAATATTTTTCAAGAGCTATGATCAAGCTCAAGGCCACCAATTATACATTGTGGAGGCCTCAGATGGAAGACCTCCCCAGTTGTAAAGATTTGTACAATCCCTTGAAAGCCAAAGGTGTGAAGCCAGGCCAAAACAGCTAGAAACAAAACCATGTATGAGGCGCTTGGTAAATTTGAAGTTGAAAAGTGGAACTTCAGTTGCTAAACACACTAGTGAATTTCATAGCCTAGTGAACCAGTTGTCATCTATGAACATGCTGCGAGGATGAAGTGGAGCCCTCTTACTTTGGAGAGATGCTTGTAGTATCTCCCAGCAACTCGGGCCCTAATGGAAAACTTACCATGTCTATGGCAAAGAAAGTTCTGTTTATTGAAGATGCGAGAAGAAAATATGTCGATGCAGACCAATCACATGCCTTCGTCACAGAGAATTGGGTAGACAACAAGGAGGCAATCGAGGTAGGGAGAGAGCAAAAGTAAAAGTAGGGGTAGATCCATAGATGGAAGGGAGCATACTTAAAAATGTTATAACTGTGGAGTGGAAGGCCACTTGAAGAAAAACTGTCGAAAATTGATACAAGAGTAAGGCTAAAATAGTTCATAGTCAAAGAATAAGGAAGGAAAGACGCTAGTTACTATTTCTGGAGAGGTGGCTATCTGCTTCATCCATGAAGAGACTTGTCTTCATATCTCAAACCAAGATATTAAGTGAGTGATAGATACTGCAGCATCTTACCACCCTACTTCATGTAGAGACTTCTTCACAACATTTAAAGTTGGCAACTGTTAGGTTTGGTTGTAATTGGCAATTCTGTGAATAAAAAGGGTCTGATTGAAACAGTGATAAAGTCGAAGAGTCATGTCCAATATTATAAATGTTGTTAGTAAGTTAGGGTTTAATAT